TCACCAATCTCCCATTTAAAGCCTTTTCCCAGCATTAAACCCAACCTCTCCGACTGGCTACCAACACCCACAATGTCCTTCCACACTCGAGACATATGCAAGGAGCTAAAAGAAGTAATATCAACTTCCTTTCGACCCTCGTAATACTTCTCCCAAATCACCCTCTTCCATAATCCCCCAAGACTATCACCTAACCTAAACCACCACTTACCCAATAAAGCCCAGTTTCTCCTCTTTAAATCATCCACTCCTAAACCCCCTCTCTCCTTCTCCACACAAATATGATCCCAACTTACCCATGCAATTTTCCTCTCCAAATTTGCTCCACCCCAAAAGAAATCTCTCTGAATCTTAACTATCTCAGCAAGAACACACTTTGGAATTTTAAATAACGACAAGTAAAAAATAGGAAGAGCAGAAAGTACCGAGTTGAGCAAAGTAATTCGACCTTCAAAGGACAGCAGTGAACGTTTCCAGGCGGCAAGCTTATTCTGAAAACGATCCAGCACAGAAACCCAAAACTTTTTCCTCCCCGAAATTCCTCCCACCGGCAAACCAAGGTAAGTAAAAGGCAACATTCCAATCTTACAATGCAAAATATCGGCTGCACCCTTTAACCACCCTTCTGTAACATTAAACCCATACAAATGACTCTTGCAAAAATTGTTCAAACCCGAAATTAATTCGAACCAGTGTAGAATAGCTTTCACAGTCCTTAAATTTTCTACCTCTGCCTTTCCCATAAAAACAGTATCATCCGCAAACTGTAGTAAGGACACAACCATACCACCCTCTCCAATCTTGACTCCTCGGAAAAGCCCTTCTGCCTCTGCTTTTCTAACCATACCGCACAACCCCTCACCTACTAACAAAAACAAAAATGGAGACAAGGGATCACCTTGACGAAGACCCTTGCCAACCGAGAACTCCTTTGTCGGACTTCCATTAATTAAAATAGATATACGGGTTGTCGAAAGGCATTCATGAATCCAGTTTCTCCACCGAATTCCAAACCCCATTTCTCAAAATCAGCCTTAAAGATAAAACTCTCTTGTTTTCTCTGTTTCACCTCATCTACCACCTCATTCAAGACCAACACACTATCTACTAGTTGCCGACCACCAACGAAAGCTGACTGTGAATCACTAATAATATCTGCCATCACCATTTTTAATCGATTCGCCAAAATTTTTGCCAGTAATTTGTATAAACAACCAATCAAGCTAATGGGTCTATACTCAAAATGCACTGGATTGACCTTTTTAGGTATTAGAGCCAAAAAAGAGGAATTTAAACCTTTTACTAACCTCCCATGTTGGTGAAATTCTAACAAAAACTTCACAAAATCCTCTTTTAAAGTACTCCAGGCAAATTTTAAAAAATTAAAATTGTACCCGTCTAGACCTGGCGCCTTCGCCCCATCACAGCTCTGTAGTCCCTCTTCAATCTCCTCTACTGAAAAAGGACGTTCCAACCACTCCCTTTGTTCAACTGAGATTCTGTTGAAATGCACTCTTCCCAACACTGGCCGTTTCCACTGTTCATTATGAAACAGCTGACTAAAATACTTCACTGCCTCCTCTTTCACCCTACTTGGCTCCTCAACCCACCCATCCTCTCCTAAGATACTTGACATTGCATTTTGTGCCCTCCGTGCATGAACACACCTATGGAAAAAAGCAGTATTTGCATCCCCAAGCCGAATCCAATTAATTCTTGACTTCTGCTTCCACAAAGCCTCTCTTTTCCTCAAAATTTCCCACATCTCCTGAAAACACCCCCTTCTGAATAACACCTCATTCTCATCTAATTCAATCTCTTCACTTTTTATATCCAGCGCTTCAATGTCCTTTGATAATATCCCCCATCGAGTCTCCACATTACCAAAAACTTCCTTATTCCACCTTTTACATTCATCCTTCATTAACTTCAGCTTCTGCTTGCATATATAACCCGCCCATCCTTCAACTTGCAAATTTTTCCACTTATCATCTACAAAACTTCTGAAATCTGGATGTTGTTGCCATGCATCCATTACCCGAAAAGGCTTTGGACCCCAATCTGTGTTACTTGCCTTCAGAATTATTGCACAATGATCAGACACTAACCTTGCAACACCTTCGTGAACCCAATCCGTGGCCAATAGACTCATTTCTGTAGACATTAAAAATCTGTCAAGTCTACTCATGGAAGATCCATCCGGTCTATACCATGTAAACTTTCTATTTCGCAAGCCAACATCAATTAACCCCGTGCTTTCCACAAAGTGATTAAAATCCTGCATATCCTGCGTCTCCCCCCTCTTACCCCTTCGTTCTGATACATTCCGGACAGCGTTAAAATCACCCGCTAACAGCCAACACCCACCCTCTTCTAAAACTCGTCCAGCCAGCTCCTCCCACAACAAGACCTTCCTATGCCTATCACATGGAGCATACACATTGATTACATTACATTTTTTCCTCTCCTTACCCCATTCCCCGGAAACCCCAATGAAACCGCCCCCCTCAATCACACCTTGTTTAATAAAACAACTTTTATTCCAAATGCACAACAAGCCCCCCGAATTACCCATTGATTTCTGCATAATCCAATCAAAATTATCAGAATTCCACAATGCCCGACACAAAGACTCCTCAACCTCCTCCAATTTCGTTTCTTGAAGAAACAAGAAATCAGGATTCTCCTTCTTTACTAACTTAAGAATCTCCCTCCTTTTCAACCCAGAACCCAAACCTCTAACATTAAAGGAAATAAACTTCATAATAATAAAAACCCAACTCACTGTTTTTAGCCAAGCTCCACACCCGAGCTTTAGGAACTTCTAAAATTGGCTTCATCTCGACCTTCTAATGCCGCCAATCTTGAAAACACCTCTTCCTCATTATTCTGACACTGAATCCCCAATCTTTTCCCCAAACCAAACAGCCTTCTTACCTCATCCAACTCCAATTGCTGCCGAATCAAAGCATTGCGATTTTGAATACAGCCATCGGACAATGACAGATCTGTTTGCTGCGATTCCGTCCCCTGCTCCGATTGTCTTGCTATCTCCCTTCTTTCCTTCATGCATCTGGTTCTTGCCGTCACCCACTGCACCCCCTTCTCCCTCGGTTCCTCCGTTACCCCTTCCCCAGCATAAATGTCTCCCAATTTCTTACATTTTTTAACCGACCTAGCTGCTCCCTTCTGATGCACTCCAGCAGGCCTAAGCCCCTCACGAGACCCATTTGTTGCATCCAGCTCCTCAACCTCACAAACCCGTGGCCCAACCCAGCCCACATTGCCCAGCCCATCCATCTCTAGCCCACTTAATTCAAAATTCCCAACCGCGTTCTGTTTTAAACTCAGCTTTGAATTTGCTTCCGTTTCTGCATAATCTTCGGCCATAACAGCTATATCATCCCCTTCACTGTAACGGTCAGCTGGGTTATCGGACTCACTGTCGGACACGTCCAAACTCGTACCGGAGCTCCTCCGTTCACCGGCCAGCCACCAGTCCGGATCCATACGCCACTCCTCCTCTGATACCTTGATCAGAAAAGACTCTCCATCCACCATTAGAGTGATATTCTGTGAAATTTTCATGGTGTCCTCACACAATACCAAGACCCGACCCTCACACAAGAATGATTTAGATTTTGTATCATCATCAACAAGTATTACTTCCCCAATTAGACCTGCTAACTCCAAGAAACACCTCTCACTCCATGCTCGCAAAGGAACACCATTAAAACGAAGCCACACCAACCTATTTCTCGATGGCATAGTAGATACCGAAGTTGGCTGCATCCATTCAAACCAAGACTCCATTAACTCCCTGTTTTTATCAATAAACTCTTCTAAGCAACCATCTGAATTATCCATTAACAAAACATGTCTTCCCCCTAACAGAGAAACATTCACCAATATACCATCCACGTCCAGTCTATTTTGTATTTTCATCACCATATCCAATGACCGAACCAGTGCCACTCTACTTTGCCTCAACCATGCAACTTCATCCTCCCTGGGAGAGAACTGCAGAACCAAACCCTTCGGCTCATAAGTATTAGCATCATTCACTGAAGTTGAAGCCTGATCAGGAATTGAGACTGGTATCACTGCCAAGTCTTTCGACATTGCACCCGTCATTTCTAACCCAGCCACTTTCTTCCCCACAACATGGTTCAGCGACTCTCCTTCATCATATGCCTTAGTTTTCCCAGCCACAATCTGTGCATATGTAATCCCGGGAGAGACCTTTCTATCTCGTCTGACCCACTGCGCTGTTGTCTGCTTTTGCTGTCGTCCTCTGGCCATCCCTTCCCTGCCTGATTTCATGTTTTCTGCCAACTGTACCTTCAACCGATACGAATCCAGCCAAATCTGATTCAACTTTCTTTCCATATAGTGACCAGAAGCTGAAGCTCCTAGGAACCACACCAAACAGGCCCTTAATCCCGAGCTATGGTTATTTTCCAAGCCCTTAGCTTTTACTCATATTTCATTTTACATATGTTTTCTTTGGCTATTTTTTTCGAACTTCTGATGTTTTTTTAATTTTTCATATCGTTATTTGGCTTCCTCTTCTTGGGTTACTCTTCCATCTCTGTAGTTTATTTTTCCCACAAATTAATGTCTCTCCACCTGCATGTTTTCAGCTTTTAGCATTAAGAAGTCAGCTCAAAGCGGAGGTATGCTTCTTAATCCCCAGCTATAGTTATTTTCCAAGCCCTGTAGCTTTTACTCATATTTCATTTTACATATGTTTTCTTTGGCTATTTTTTTCGA